AGCCCTTCCTCCAACAACAGACCCCTCACCGGGCCCGGTCCACTCGACTCCAAGGGCCCCCGAGACCGAACCAATCGCCACCCCGGAACCTCGCCGCTCGACTCGCCCCAGGAAGCCACCAGCGCACCTGAAGGACTTCGTCTGTGGGTGCATTGCGAACCAAGGGGGGAGGGGTGTAATGTATTGAGCCTGACATGCCTGGACTTGCCCGGGCTGGCCAGGCACAATTCCTATGTTAGCTTCAGTCGAAAGACAAAGGATCCAGAGGATCCTAGCCGGCCCTATCAAAAGGGCTAGCTTCCCAGCCGGGAGACCAATGGTCACCCGGTTACTGTAAATAGCCTATCGGGAGTAGGGGGTGTGGTTAGGTATGCTTGGTGGCGGGTTTTCTGAACGTATATAAACCGGCCTGCGAGCCGGTCAGTTGTCTTTGTCCTGAACTAAATAAAGGTATGCTTAGCTGAAATCACTCTCCGTCTGCATACTTTTCAGTGTAGGGACAGAGGAATGGCGGTTTGATCCTGTTTGTCTTTGTATGTCTGTTATATAAAGTAAAAAAAGTTATATCAAAAAAGGCAAGAGATGAACAGAGGCGGTTGGCCATTCCCCTGTGTAGCCAACCTGGCCTTCTTCAGTGGTCTCCCACCAAAGTACTGACCAGGGAACCCTAACCCTAACCCTGTTTAGTGTCTCAGCTCTGACCCGATTGGGTTAGCCTGGGCCATCCCGGTCAGCTCTGGGGAGCTACTGCTTGCAGAGAGAGGCTCATACCAGCTCCATGGCAGAGTGTTTCCATCCTGTTATGTCCGCTGACCGCCACCGGGGCCAGCGAATACCCCAGAGCTTGACTCTGCAAGAACAATGGGGACTAGGCTCCTAGTTCCTCCACTGGGGAACCAATGGGACCATGGCGGGAGATTCAAACCCACCAATGGGACCTAGGGGGGCGTCCCCAAGTGTGTATATAGTTGGCCAGCCGGCTGTTTTCTTTGTTGTGTGTCCAGTAAACCATGCTGAGTACTACATCGGTCTCAGTGGTTTCTACATGCGTTTACTACACCACTTCACATCCAGACAGAGACTCACCTTGGGGAGCACTCAGTGCTCTGTGGATATACTCTGAAGCAGGGTGAAAGTGGACACTGAGGTCAAAGTCAGGGTCGTCTTCCGCCACGATTCCATGGTAATGGATTTCCTGGTCATAGAAGTCTCGGCATCCTCGGCTCCCCCAGGCTCCATGGGCAGCATTCAGTATGTGGGTGATGCCCAGTCTCTGCAGTTCTTCTTTGTCGTTGGCCATCACACTGCCGGGAGACAGACACGACAGTGGGCAGGTCAGGGGAAGAGCACAGAGCAGCCAAATCCCAATGCTTGGAACACGAGCATCCACACCCATCCCGTTGGTTGACCCCAGCTCAGAGATGTCCCAAGGGGCTACGGTGGCCTTTGGTTCGGAGGGCCACAAGGCAATGATGATGCAGAACTGTTTTTTTTCAATGCTGAAATAACGAGGGGCTAGCAAATCACCCGCTTAAAAATACTACCTCTGGGGCTCTCAGAAGCCCATGGCTAATTGTTTGGAGATTGTCCCGTTGCTTCTAAATCAGGCTTTGCTACAGAAACTAAGATGCAACAGGGGGCACACTTTGAACTGATTATCTGCAGCAGGGAGGATCATGCCCAGCTGGCTCTGATTTCACAGGGTGGCATCGTCTGCCCAGGGCTTTCTGCATGTCCCGCCGTGAACTGTCATCCGGCTCTGCTTTGGCAATGGCAAACAGCTTCCAGGCTCAGAGCAGAGGCCGCCACACAACCTTTGTACACACAGTGAATCATCCATTTGCCTGGGCACAAGAACGTTATGTACAGTTGATAAAAGAAGTGAAGAGCCACTCTCTTTCTGAAAAGTATGCAGACGGAGAGTGATTTCAGCAAAGCGTACTTTATTCGATCAGGAACAAGATGACTTTGGCCGGCTCGCAGGCCGGCTTATATCCCTCGAGAAACCACCACCCAAAACACACACCCCACTTCCCTATAGGTTATTTACAGTGTCCGAGAGTCCAATTGGCTCTCGGCCCGGAACCTAGCCCCCTGATTGGAGCGGGCTAGGATCCGCATAGTCCATTGTCTCGTGGAGCGATGCTCTGCATTTGTCTCTGGACTTGTCTGGACTGGATACATTACACTTTCTCTTTTGAAATTGGGGAGGTGTGTAAAAATGTTTTAATTTTAGACTAAACATTCTGCAGGTGTAGGATAAAAACCAGTCAAAGTAATAAGCAAAGAGCAGGGAAGTGTGTTTTGTAATCTTACAGAGCAGGTGTCCTGCTGAGATACGTTCTGGGGTCATAGGGCTGCCAGCCTTGTATGACACCTGATTTCCAGATGGCAGAAATTAATTCTCCCGGAGAAAATGGCTGCTTTGGAGGGTGGAGTGTATGGCATTCTACCCAGCCAAGGTCCCTCCCCTCCCCAAAGTCTGCCTTCCTCAGCAGGACTGCCAGGTACCCGCTGGCAACCAGGGGTGGGGTGGGGACCAACCAGGAAGAAAACTAGGCCTAGGCCTGCATTGCTGGTGATGCGGCAACATCACTTCTGAAGCACACCAGAAGTGACGTCGTCATGTCGCCAGACCTGTGGGGACACTCTGGTATTTGGGCAAAACCTCAGTGGCAGAAGTCATTTTTATCATAGAGTTTTTGCCCAAATACCAGTGCATCCCCGCATTGGTGGCAACATGATGATGCCTCTTTCAGTGCATGCTGGAAGTCACTCTGCCACATTGCCAGCAACGCAGGCCTAAGCCTAGTTTTCCTGCTGGTAAGTCCCCACCCCCACCTTTGTGATTGCAAGAGGGTACCTGGCAACTCAAAGTCCACCTCTGGCCAATTGATAGATTCCAGGGAGAGAGTCCCCAGGGGGGGATCCCCCGCCCACAGTAGGGGCCTGGCAGCCCTATTCCCCAGCCCCCACCCTGAAATCTCCTGGAATTTCCTAACCCAGAGTTGGCACCCCAAGTGGGAATAGTAAATTTGTGAGCTCCTGGAGAATGTGGTATAATTTTGATACTAGCTGATTTCTGCTGGCAGAGTTTATTCAGGAAGACTTTTACCCAGTCCCTAATGGGATGCTAATGAGAGACATTTCCATTAATCTGAGTCTGAATTGTGCCTTCTCCATCTTTCTTTCCTATTGACATTGTTATCTTCTAGGGCAGACCAACTCAATAAGAGTCTTGAAATCTGAATTTTGTCTCTTAAGTTACCTCATACATTGACTAGTTATATTTTTTTAAATTTTCTCCAACTTGTACTTTTGGCTCATAACGGTGGGAAACGTTATAGCTCATATTTTCTTCTGCTTCAGTTGTATGTCCATATGGTTTATTTGTTTTGTTATAATCTTTTTATTGATTCTCAAAAGAAAAATAGAAAATAATCAGAAATATTTTTGAACACATCAAAATCTTGTAGAGGAAATAATACATAAATCATGCCATCTCACCAATATATCAATATCCCCATAATATTACAGATCACGTATTTTATGCATCTCAATATAGCTCCCTTATTATATCTATTAATTTTTCAAACATTTCAAACAGATAGTAATGGTTTTCTTTAAATATTAAATTGTTTTCATTACTATGGAGCTGTAAGTAACATAATCAATTTCATTTCTCACTTTCAAGCTGAAACATTAAGATTTCTTTAACAATTTAAACAAAATCTAAATCTATAAACTATAAATATATCCAAAAATATATCCAAAAATACAATTAGATCAAAATACCCAAATTTAAATCAATTTTCAACCCTAATTAACCCACTTATACCTTTACCGATTCATTATTACCAATATCCCCATCAAAATCTAGCCCAATCATAGTAAGGCCAAGACCATAATATAGATAGCAAGAAAACCAAAGATATAAGATTTCAATTAAACCAAACTCAATATAATCCATTCTCTTTTTATAAAACTATTATCTACCAAAAAGAAAAAGACATTTTTGCTATAAGAATATTATTTATTACCTAACTCTATGTCATCATTAACCCAATTACATCCTTAATAATTCATTATTACCAATCAGTGCTAAACCCACACATAATAGATCAAAATACCATAAACAGAAATAAAACAAACAACAAAGTTATAACCACAAATTAATTCTTTCAAAATACTAATTGAGGCAACAAACAATATAAGAATTCTCATCCTTGACCATTCCCTTCTTAACAAAAACCATTATTAGTCAGCAAGGAGAAATATAATATACACAAATAAAGGTCTTGTCTGACATTCCACCCCCATCTTTCTGTTGCCACCTTCTTTTTCTGGATCTCTTTTATATATCTAATGTCCTTGTATTCATGGCTCCTCAGATCTCAACTTTTCCTTTCCTGTTTCCATAAGCAAGTTGTCCATCTTTTATGCTTTTTAAAGTTATTTCCACCATCTCTTGACTTCTTGTCTTGCGTAACCTTATTTTTCTTTTTCTTTTTTCTAAGTAACACGAACATTTATTTATTTATTTTTATTATTTTTTTAATTGGATTTCCAATCAAGTTTACATACACATCAATTACAAATTTACAAAGACATCACTCTCAATAATAAAATATACAGTTCCAACTATAGCAGATCACCACACAGGTCATATATATCTTATATATCATTTGGTGCATTATTAATTGTTTCACCATAAATGTAATAAATCTATAATATCTATAAGTTCTTTCCACCATCTCTTGACTTCTTGTCTTGCGTAACCTTATTTTTCTTTTTCACTGAAAAAGTTAAAGAGGGTCCTTTCTTCATTTCTGTTTTTAGTTCAAATCCTGTTAGGTCTTTTACATGGTGTCCTCTGTAAATCTTTGTCTCCTGATCCAAATTTTGTCGGATTAAAGATTGCTTGTCTGGTAGTTCCCTCTCCTGGCTGTAATCCTGTTGTTCATCTGGCACTTGAAAATATTGATTCAAATCCTCCCCATTTACGTTTTCCAAATCTACTTGCAAGTCCTGAGGCTCTTTAAACAAATTTTTACAAGCTGTTGTCACTGCTTCTTTAATTGTATCTGTTAAGAATCTTTTAAATTGTTCATAAGTAAGTTCTCCAACTTGCATATTCAAATCAAGCTCTTCCTCTTCTCCTGTCGTCGCCATTTTGTCTCTCCAACATAAATAAGCTATTACACTTTTAAATATTATTCCCTGGGATTTCACCTCCGTTGGTGTTCCGTATTCAACAGATCAGGTTGTTTTGTATTTTTAAACTGTTGTTAGCCGCCCTGAGCTATTGGATAGGGCGGGATAGAAATTACAAAAATAAATAAATTGTATATCTTACTCTTGACTCAGATTATTTCTTTCTTACCCCCACTTCTCCAAAGTATTCATTGTCCCCAGTCTTTCAGTAGCCGCTCTCCGGACAATTTTGGGGATAATTAAAGGGGGGTATTATCTCAATAATATAACATTGTATGAAGATACATGATGAGAAAATTCTTGAAAATGATGTTAAAATAAAATGGCTGGTCGCTGCTGTGGAAACATGGAGACCATGTTTCCTCCGGTCTTTGTTCCTGCTTCGGGGCATGGCATCGAAACCTCCGCGATTGCCATCAGTGGGGATAAGAAACTAAGTCCCCTGCCACTCCACCTCCCTCCAAGAAGTGAAGCGGAACCCACCCAAACATCGGGGGGTTCCCAAAAGGACGAAGTGGAAGCAAGCATAGTCGGAGCATTCCGAAGGACGCCCGCTCGCAGCGCTGTACCGCACAGACTCCCATATAGTTTATTTGTTATACTCTTCCATCCATTTGTAAAATCTTGACCATGTATTCTCAACGTTTTCTTCGTTTTGTTCTCTCAAAATTACTGGCAGAAAATATGGAAGACTGGAACGACTCCTGATGAAGGTTAAAACAACTGAACATCAAGAAGACCTAAGCAATGACCACTGGGGAATTACAAAACTTTGAGTCTGAGAGGATGTTAGTCCTCTCTAGGAAGTGCTAGAAACTCTATGGTAAAACTGGCTCTTCCTAGAGAGGACTGATGTCACTTTCGGCCACTGTCAAGTTTAGTTTGTCTCAATGCCATTACACCTCCCTGAGCTCCCTTCCCTTCCCTCCCCAACCCACCCACCCCCAAATCCCCATGAATTTCCCAACCTGGAGTTGGCAACCCTCAATGTGACAAATCAGATCTGTACATAATAATAAGGCTTTGTAGCTTGCATGACTCAATTTTTTCCTGGCTGCAGAGAAATTAGTGCCCTCAATTCTTTGTTTAGATCTTTTGGCACAGAAGAAGATACATCATCCTGTACTAATTGCTCTTCCTTGGGACTAGGCGTCATATTAAGCTATAAATATATTTATGCAGATTGTGAAACTGTTTTCTGTTTCGCAAGATGTCCATAAGTAATTGACACCAGCCCGAAGCAACGGGAAACGACGTGTGCAGATGCCACACGCTTTCTTCAGTCCTAACTGGATGCTACCCTGGCACTGCAAAGTAGCCTCCTCTGGCAACTATTGTTCTACGGGACTCACTCATAAACTTTGTTCCCAGTGACACTTACACATTACCCAGATAAAGATTGGGCCACACTTTGTCCACCTCCTTCAATTCCATCCTGCAGCTGTCCAGGAGACATCCCAGTTCTTTGATGAGAAGCGCAGGAGATTCAAGGGTGCTTGTTTTGCGAAGGGGGGTCGTCATCTCGCCCGGCTGTCATGGGACTGTGCTCCTGCCTGGTGAAACGGCCAATGGGGGGGGGGGCCCTGCTGGAGCTTCTTCTCCTGCCCCTCTTCCTGACGTCTGACTGCCAGAGACAGGTGCCATCGCTTGGCATGCAGCCTTCATCCTGCATGTGACTCGTAGATAGGGGAACGGCCTCTACTAATGCAGCAGACAGGATTACAAGGAACTACTGTGGGAATGGTGCACTTTAGCCTTTTAGTGAAGTGTTTTTAGATTCAGGGAAGAAGGAGGAGGAGGAGGAGGAGGGTTTATACCCCAGTTGGAGCCAGTTTGGTGTAGTGGTTAGGAGCACGGACTCTAATCTGAGAGAACCAGGTTTGATTCCCCACACCTCCACTTGCAGCTGCTGGGTGACCTTGGGCAAGCCACAGTTCTCTCAGAGCTGTTCTCTCAAGGGCAGTTCTGAAAAAAAAGCTCTTTCAGTTCCACCTACCTCACAGGGTGTCTGGTGTGGGGAGAGGGAAGGAGATTGTAAGCTGCTCTGAGACTCCGAGTAAAGGGCAGGGTATAAATCCAATCTCTTCTTCTCTTCAATCTCTTTTCTCTACGTTAAGGAGTCCTAAAGAGGCTTTCAGTCACCTTTCCCTTCCTCTCCCTACAACAGGCCTTTTGTGAGGCAGGTGGGGCTGAGAGAGTTCAGAGAGAGCTGGGACTGCCTGCAGGCCACCCAGCCGGCTTCCTGTGGAGGAGAAGTGGGGACTTTCTTTAGCGCTGTCTGAGCTGGATGTCCAAAATTCTCAGTTGTTCCTGGAAGCCTCGGTTGGGGAAAATCCACCGATGCTTTTTCACCGCCTCGGTCGCTTCAGTCAAAGGGAGATGGTGGTAGATCATGAGGTAGGCCAGCACCAAGGACGAGGACCGGCTGATCCCGACTGCGCAGTGCACGAGGACCTTGGCTGCCGAGGGAAACAGAAGGGCATCAGCGTTACGTTTTGTCTTAAAAACTCTCTTCGATGAAAGGATTACAATCAACGTTCTTCCACGTCCCAACAGATTATTCCTGTCAGCCCCCAACCCAGCAGCTTCCTTCAGCAGTAAGGGCCAAAGATAGACCTCTTCTCCGTCGCTTTTGTTTGATCTTTTGGCCAAGGCATTTATGCTGAAGGGCATCCCAGCATACCACGGCAATGAATTCCACGTGGCCCTCTGAGGTCTGCTCAACTGTTCATGCAACTGGCAATGGTTCCATACCTCCTGGGATACTCAGGGCTTTGTGTATAAAGTCTGCTGCAGGATAAAAATACGGGCTCATGTCAAAATCTGGAAGGTCGTGGGCTGGTACTCCGTAGTATTCAATGGTGGTGCCATAAAAATCGTGGGGTTCGTGGCAAAATAGTGTGCCGTGAGCAGCATTTAAAACGTGGCTGATGCCCATCTTCCACAAACCAAATCGGCTGTGCAGTGCAATGCTAGAGGAAAAGAGGAGAGAGAGACAGATTCGCAGGGAACCCAAAGGCTTTCCTTTGCCTTTGTGTCCAGACCTGTTCATACTCTACAAGGAACATGCGAGGGGGAACCCAGTTTCCCCTCATGAAAATGAGGATTCTGCTCTAAATTAGGTCAGCAAGTGGGAAAGCTTTCCTGCATCATTTGGAACTTTTGATAAGCCCCCCGCTTTGGCTAGGTTGTGAGTCGGCAGGGTAGTGAAGAAGGCTTCGATGTGGGGGCCACATAACTGAGCGCTCTTCTGCAACACCACAACAAAATCCCTGCACATCAAAACTAGATGTCAGGGAGGAAGAGGTTAACTTTGGCTTCTCCAGAGGGTTGCCAACCTCCAGGCTTCAGACATAAATTCCTCTGGGGAAAATGGCAGCTGAGGCCCCTCCCCTCTTTAAACCCCACCCTCCCCTGGCTCCACCCCCCATATCTCCAGGGATTTTCCAACTTGGAGCTGGCAGTTCTGCTTTGCTAGGTGGAGAGGATTGCTGGCATGGAGAAGTGCTCAGCTCCCAGTCTAAAGTGGTTAGAGATGTGAAGGCCCGGAAAAAAACCGGAAAAATTCGGGAAAAAACTGGTTTTTTTCCCGGTTTTTCCCTGAAGCCTTTTTTTTGTTTTTTTCCCGAAAAATTGGAAAAATTGAAAAAAGAAAAGTAAAGGAAAAAAAATGATTATGGAACGTTTTATTTTAACATGATGAATAAAATATTTTAAGGCAAGGTGTTCAAATATTTTTCAAATCATTTCTAATATATATATATATGGTATCAGATTGATCTAATTTCTGTGCACTGAGGACAAGCAAGTCCTAGGTTACAAACTGAACTCTCCAATGCAAGAACAAGATGCATTTCTTCCTTTAGAAGGTGCTATTGTCAGAAGAAAAGGGTTTCAGTTTTGTTTTTGCATGTGGGTGGGTATTTTGTTTGTAATAATTGTTTGGATACACTATATTTTTAATATGCTTAGTTGTGATAATTTCATGCCAAGCAAAAATGTCCCATCATATTTTATGTTCCTAAAGTAACAGAATGACTTTCAATCTAGAAAAGACAAAATAAATGCTAATGTATTAATGTAGCATTTTTTTCAATTTTTCCGAAAATTTCCATTTCCCCCCCGAAAAAAACTGGAAAAAACCCGGGTTTTTTTCTGAGCTTCAAAATTTCCGGAAATTTTACATCTCTAGAAGTGGTGCAGGCCAGACACTAGTTTACTGCCTTCGTGAGAATTTGTGCAGAATCGGCGTCCAGACTCTGATGTGAAACCAAAAACTAAACACCATGAAGGAGGGAGACATCCTTCTTGTAGGATACCAAAGCCCCGGCCAGAGAAAGCCGCTTTGGCCTTTTGCAGATCCTGCCTTCACAGTCTCTGTTATATTGTTCTACGACTGAAAAGGGGGAAAGTAAACAGCTTTTTAATGAAGTTGCTATTTTACATTATACACATTCTTTAGGGAATTCTGCATGCACACCATGAAGGAAGAGAAACTTTATCAGCAATTAAATGGGCAACACTCTTCTCAAAAACTATTTGCATAAAATGATAGGGTGCAATCCTGCTACTGGTGATGCAAGAGACAGTCCCGTTGGTTTAAAGGGGGGGGGCTGTTCGTGCTTGACTGACATTCCACTCTCCAGATGTTTCGCTCTGTTTGTACAAGCTGGGAGCTTACCCCCTGGGGACTGAGCAGGGCATGGGTTTTCCATTCACATGTTGTGCAGTTCACACGAGGCAATGGCCACTGCTATCCTGCTCCCAGTGGGCACAGCTGGCCGTCTCCCAGTTTCCTTGGACAAGATGCAAAGGGCTCTGCTGCTGCAGCAAATCAAATCAAGTCACAGGACAGGGAGTGTATGGAAGGAAAGCTTGTGCCTAAAATGAAAACCTAAGGCAGAAGTGATCATGTTGCAGGAGGGAATCCTTCTCGATATGCTACATTGCCTTCTTCCACAGAGATATACTTACTGGTCTCCTAAGAAGAGGTTCGGCCACACTTCATCAACGTGGTTCCAGGAGGGTCTCCCAGTGTTCAAGAGCTCTTCCAGCTCTTTCACAGTAGGGGTCTCTGGGAGGCCTGGGCCGGAGCATTCGGGGTCTGCGGAGGGCAGCGTGTCCTCGTCAGCCATGGTGAGGGCAGCAGCCAGCCGCTCGCTCTCTGTCCTCTGCAACCTGAGAAAGGGGCCCAGGCTGCCTGTGTGTTCACTGGGCGGTCCGGAGACTCTCCGGCAGTCCTTGTGGGTCGATTGGAGACCAGTCAGAAGAGGTGCTGGCGGGCAGGAGGGAAGGGAGGGGAGTGGGGAAAGGAGAGCCGTTGGGAAGAGCCGTGTGCCACATCTCCTCTCCTCAGCAGATCTCCTCTGAGCCAAAATATTTTTTAAAAATCCAGTCTCCCAATAGCAAGATCTGGCCTGCTTCCTCTCCATATCAGGGGCTGTAAATAGGGTTGCCAACTCTGTCTAAAAATGTCTACAGCCTACACAGACAACATAGACAACAAAGATTGTGGGTCTCGTTTCATCCATAAAGAGCAAAGGGCAGGCTTCTTCAGCTTCAGTTTGCCTCAGGGGTGTGTAAGGAAGAGAGGGGGAGTGTAACCCTTCGGCCTCAGCCCAATGTTGCTGTTCAAAACCAGACATCCCAGATCATTTCACTCTAAAGGGGAGAAGAGGTGTTGACTCATTTGATTTGTATCCCGCCCTCTCTGCTGAGGCAGTCTCAGGGCAGCTTACACACAATAGCCACATTTCAGAGGGATCTGATGAATTACAGCTGGATTTTGGCAGTACAAACTTTGAGATACTCAGGCTGATTTCACACTAGAGCTGCCTCGATGTTGCACCGCAGTTTGCCTTGATACTATCGGTCACTTTCACACCCGAAGCTGCGGGGCTGCATTTTGACTCCTGGCTTTGCCCGATTTCCCCTGCAGTTTCGTGATCCTGTTTTTTGAGGATCACAAAACTGCGGAGAAAATCGGGTGAAGCCGCGGGTCCAATGCAGCCCCGCGGCTTCGGGTGTGAAATTGACCAATAGTATTGGGGCAAACGGCGGCGCAACATCGAGGCAGCTCTAGTGCGAAATCAGCCTCTGTGTTTCTGCACTGGTGGCCCATTTTCGCCCATCCAAAGCACATCTACAATTTATTATGCCGGTTTGTATGACAGAATTCTTGCCCTCATTGGTTTGGCGAAACTCCCTTCTGTAAATTATGAGGGTTTCACGGCACTCTTTTTACTCAATGAGAATGAAAGTAAAGTGCAAGATATTCAGTGCAAGCTATCGACCAAGTCCATACAGGGCTTTGTGTCACCTGGCTTCGTGCTCTCTTCACTATTCATGTGACAGCAAAGCCTTGAAGATATTCCACACGCAGAATTCCCACCCCGAAGAAGCCTCGGGGCTCTGAAATGTTTGTAGCAATGCTTGCCACTGGCCATAAGATTACAATGGATGTTTGGTTCTGGATCTCAATAGACAAGGAAGAAACCTTTAGCTATATTTTCTAAGAAATGTCTGGGGCTGCTGACGGACATGCGCCTCGGCATGTCCATCAGCAGCCCCAGACATATCTGGTCTAGCAGCCGCCATCCTGTGGGAATGCAGGGGCAGGCGCCCATGGGAGTGTAGCGCCTTGTGGGCCAGAAGGGCTGCCCCTGCATTCCATAGCCTGTGGGAACCATGGCTGCTACAACATCTGGTGCCAAGGATGGGCAGTGCCAGCCTAACTGGACAGAGGTGGAAAAGAGGGTGCTATTCAGCTTGGTGGTCGGCAACCTGCCTGTTGCACTGGGCTCTGCCCAAAGCGGTTCGATCAACTCTCACTGCCATGCCTCCTGGTGGATGGTGGCCGAACGGGTGTCTAGACTGGGACACACAACCCGCACGGAGCGCTCCGTGATGGAATGACTCGTTCAGCCCCGCCAGGAGATGGGTCCGTGCCCTGATGGTGCCAGGCACTCCGTATGAGCGTGATCTGATGGAGGGACTACGGGGTGCCAAGTCTGTGATGCTGTTGTCGCGGGATACAGAGTAGAGGTGGTCTGCACCTGTGTGTGGCGCAAGCCGCCCCTGCCCCAGGCACCCTTCTGCACCCTGGCACTCATCCTGACCTGCACTGCCTGCCCCACCAGCTGACTCGCAAGTCTCAACCCGCACTGCCGCGCTGTGCCCAAGGCGACATGTGGCTGAAGCAAGGGGACCCGTTGTTACATGGGGAGTCGAGGGCCTGGCACGTCACCCATGGGTGGCTCTGGCCTCCCCCAGCCCCCGCAGCCAGGATGTTCACGGTGCCAGCCAGAGGCAACCTGCATCCCACAGCTGGGGGAGTCGTCCAGTGATGAGGGAGGGCACAGATCAGGTGTGGAGGGAGGGACGTGGCCTGCACCCTCTCCAGCCTATCCCACACCCACCCTGTCCTCCATGTGGGCGTCCACTGAGTGGGAGCACCTTGAGACCCGCCGGGAGTGGCATGCTGCCATGGCTATAGGACATCAGTGGATGGACAGCCATGGCGACACTGTCCATGGGAAGGAGACACCTGGCCAGGATCGTTGCCGTGGTGAGGGAGGGGGTGGAGTGGCAAGGGCAGCTTGAGAGACTCATGGGCAACATGGAGAGACTCCTGGCCGACAATGATGAGTCTCTCTGGGGCAGCCCTGCACCCACCGGGCCACATCCCATCCCAAGCTGCACAGTGGGCCTCTCGCAGGGTGCCTGGCTTGCAGTGGTGGTGGTGTGGATGGCCCTCGGTCCAATGTGGCAGCCTTTGAGCATCGGTGGCCCACCTGCCCAGCTCCCATTGGCCCCATGGGGCCCCGCCCCTGCCACCGGCCACTCCTTCCACCCATCCCAACAGGCTGCTCTGAGGTGGAAGCTCAATGCCCACCTGCCCACTTATGAAACCTATTTCTTCCCCTCCAGTTTGGCCTACCTTGCGCCTTAGGGAATGGTCTACCACCACCTAAGCCCCACCGTGGCCGGCTGCTCCAACACAGGCAAAGCTCCGGATTGCTCCGCCAATCAGATTCACGGGGTGCAGGAAATTTCATATCAAGCTAAAAGGCAAAGAGACTGTAAGCTCAACATTACAGAGGCACAACTGAATAAAATATGGACTTCCAGCGTTTCCCTTACAAGAGCTATAAATATTAAAGCTCAGTTCTTCAAAGTTGCGGCCAGATGGCATAGAACTCCTCTAAAATGGCACTGTATTAACCCAAATATTGGTCCGCATTGTTGGAAAAGATAAGGCCAGGACCCGGTCACACGGAGGATTTGCACGAATGTCAGGCGGATTTTCAGGGTGCGATCACACCACAATATCTGGGAAGCGTGGCGCTCCCATGGCCAACCCGTGGCATCCCGCCGAAGATGGGCAGTAAAAAAGTACCTCTGAAAGTGCATTAGTATCCGGAAAACGTGGGGCAGAGGCGGGCATCTGATCGTGGGAGCGCTCGTATCCCGTGTTATCTGGCCTGTGTGACCGGGGGCCCAGATTGGTTCATTTTTTCACTGTGGGTGGGAATGCCCCAAGATTTAAAAATTTGGGAGGAAAATATTGGAAAAGATTAAAAAACATCACTGGATAAACTATTCCTAGGTGTCCTGAAATTATTCTATTAAATCTTTGGGAAGATAGTGTAATAGTTATTACACTATAGTTATTACAGTATAACTAAAATGAAATATTTAATTTCAGTTCTGCTGGTAGCAGCAAAAGTTGTCTTGGTGTACCAATGGAAGACTAAAGATTCTCCTTTATTAAATAAATGGTTCAACAAATTGTGGGAATATTTCGTTATGGATAAAATTTCCTACCAAATTTTAACAGCTGAGAATCCGGCATACCAATCTAGTTTTTTTAGAAAGAGGGTTCCCTTTCTTGGACTTTAGTGAAAGAGATAAAAATGACAAAAGATACCAGGAAATTTTACTGTTATCCCATTGTATTAGCTTTTTTTAATGTCACCATATTGTTCTCTGTCACTGCTCCTGTTTACTATTTATTTTGTCTGTTTTGATATTGTGATATGCTGTTATGTTCTGTAAACCTCATAAGATAAAAAGTTTTTTTTAAGCCTGTTTATGCTGGAAAGTATTAAAGACAGTTGAAACTGCTCCCTCAATTGATGTGCCTCAGCCAAGTTTCTCTTCTGTCTGTCAGGAGTCCCTGTGCTGCTGATTCATTCCTCGAAACCAACTAGTAGATAAATCAGTCTTCTTTTTGGTTAAAAGGTCATTCCTGCCACCGTGAGCTCCATACTCTACTCGTGCACCGGAAAACTTCACCCACAGCAGTGAACGCAAAGCCTAGAGACTCGCTGACTTCAGAACACCGATAACGGGACACCTGGTCCCCCCAGAGATGTAGGAGGCTGTGTGGGTCTTCTCAGTTGGCGGAAACGGCCTGTCACATTGAGCAGCTCAGCTCTCTGATTTGCGTCATCACCAGTCCTGAGTATAAAACATGTGGGTGAACCTAGGGTTGCCATCCTCAAGATGGAGCCTGGAGTTCTCCTGTGCCTAAAACAAGGACACGGCCTCTGTGCAAACACATGGGATTATTTTACTGACCCCACCCCCCTGGCAACATTGAAGAGTGCAGACTTCAATGTCATTGAGTCCACGGCGGCTTTAAAATAGTCTCTGTTCCTGATCAGGGTGGGTTGGTTGGGCGGTTACTGTTGCTGTGTTTTAGCGTTGTCTTAGCTGCATATCCAGATTCCTCAGTTGTTTCTGGAAGCCTCGATTGGGGAAAATCCACCGATGCTTTTTCACCGCCTCGATCGCTTCAGTCAAAGGGAGCTGGTGGTGGATCATGAGGTAGGCCAGCACCAAGGAAGACGACCGGCTGATCCCGACTGCGCAGTGCACGAGGACCTTGGCTGCCAAGGGAAACAGAAGGGCATCAGCAACTCTGTGAAGACTGCAGTTTGAATGAAGCACTCCCTGAGAAGGAAGGGACACAATGAACCGATGCAACTGAGGAAGGGGGTAGAAGGAAAGGCAACTCCGAGTCCGTCCCCATTGGCCTCCAACCTGTGGGCACCAACGCTGTCGTGGCTTGAGAGTAATCCTGGATGATCCAGGTCAGATCTCGGAACCTAAGCAGGGTAGGCCCTGCTCAGCATTTGGAGGGAGACCACCAGGGAAGTCCAGGGTCGCTATGTAGAGGGCAGCCAGCGGCAAACCACCCCTGAACATCTCTTGCCTTGAAAACCCTCTATGGGGTCGCTATAAGCCGTCCCAAATGCAACAGAAACAGATTTGTGGAAGAAAACCATTAGTCATTTGCAACAGGGGTCATTTCGTAGAAAAAAGAGGTGCAGGAGCTCATTAGCATCACTCATTAGCATGTGCCACACCCCCTGACATCACCGGAAGTGTGCCAGAAGGCAACACCCACCGCTCAGGCTCCACTGGACTGTTTTGGATTGCCAGCTATTGGGGGCGGGGGAACGTGCAGATCTGCCCTCGCAGAGGAGGGAGAGCTTGGACCTGCAGGCGGGCCGGGGGGGGGCTCTGCAACTTACCTGGCTGCTTCTTGCTCCTCATGGCCCGACTGAGGGCTGCTGGGAGCAGGGGGCGGGGCTTGTTCCACGTGTCCGCCCCCGGAGCTCCTTACTGCCGGAGCCCCACTCCTGTGTGCTCCTGCACGAAATGACCCCTGATTTGCAATATCCGTATTATAACATTTTCACTTTTTCAATTCTGAGTGAATGTTCAGGATGGGAG